AAGAAGCTCTCTCAGTCCCAAATTCCTTCTCCCAAATCTCTAAAGACCACCCTCTCTGATGCTGCCCACATGACCGGTAGCATGGCAGAGCATGGAGGACTCTGAAAATACTATAAAGTCTACTAATCTACTTCCTTTATTAATGTAACGATGGGCAAAATTAAATATATTCTAAAATAACATTCATGTTCAAATTACTTTTCTTCAGTGCATACAACAATTGCGACTCTCTATTTGTGACTACATGATGTTCAACTCCACAGGAAAAAAAATAAAAGCCTTCAAAATTAATCACTTGTTTCTCACCTGACAGTCTATAATTAATCTCATTAATCTTTGTTTATCGCACTTATTAAACCAATCAGTTGTTTGTGTTTTTTGAAGAATGTGACTAAAACCTTAAATAGGAAGAATTAAATCTCATTTCTGACACATGTTCTTGACTTAATCCTCCATTATATGACTGTGTCTTTGATTTAAAAAAGATATTTTTTTTTGGCCAACAAAGATAATGAACATGTATCACACATCAAATACTTCTAGGTTCAAAAAACAATTAAATGGCACAGAGTTGTAGATTAATGTGCACACTTCATCTGACATAATAGGTACATAAAAAATGCATTTTAAAATACTAAATCCAACATATCTGGTAAAACACTGAGGTGATCCTTTTGCAGTGGAAAAGCCAACTTTATCATGCTTTAATTTTAATGTCTTTTGGGGGCAAGCCTCTAAGTTCAATTGTCTAAATCCTACTCCTTTAGCTCACCCCAGAGACCATAAGTTAAAGACATGGATTACCTTACTTTGGTATTTTGGTATAAGGTTCCAAATGCTAAATTTGGAAGTCCTATTAGATTGATGTCTCCCAGTGGTAAGAATGCTCAGTATCCACCGAGAGGGCTATACATTCGCTGCATCCACTTACTAAGTCAATAGATGAACTCATGGCAGGTCATTTAAGAGCAACAAGGGGCAGAAAATTGCCATCCTTGCTGCCAACTATCAATTCTCCCATGCATTTAAATTTCTCTTTCAAAATTATCAACAGATCTATAAGAAAAGCAATAGAAAGACTCTAAGCAATAGAACATTACTAAATTACTTCCAATTTCCTGCCAAGCCGCCATAGTGGGGGCCTTTCCTTTCCAGGGCAACACTCTCACTCTGGGCACTGCTCAGCATCACATCAAATGGACTTATGTTCCGAAGCTTTGCTGCTGGGCAGGGCCCTGCTAACTCAATAATAACACATCACAACCTTCCATCCTTGAATCACAAAACTGGGGGAGGGAAAAAGGAAACCTGGAAAGAAATCTATGTTGAATTACAGAGCTCTAACAGCACCGTGAACCAGATAGTGAGAAGCAGTAACAGACTTCTGGGCTTGAGCCATCTGCAGCATTAGGACTTATCCAAGGGCACTTTTCATTCAGGGCTATTTGAACACCTAAGGAGACATTCTGGTTGTTACAACACACAGGGGCTGTTGCTAGCATAAGATGAGTAGTGGATGCCTAGAGACATCACATTATACCCCGGGGGGGAGCCTCTAGAATAAAGAATGATATGATTTAAGACATCAAAAGTAACTAAGTAGAGACAGCTTGCTCTAGTGAAAATCTTACAGGCAGATAATATCCAGAGGCCACCAGTACTCTGAATTAGTCCTCTCTGCCTGCAATAGCCACCTTTCCTTCCACACGGCTTAAATCACACATGTTTTCCATTGTGATGTTCTACACGGAAGCTGTTCTTCATGTACACAGCAACAGGATTCTCACATACAAAGAATCACTTCTGACTAGGATTGAAAAATCAAGAGAAGGCATAGTTTGGGGACTCAGTTCACCTAACTACTTGTTTGTTGCTGTTGCTGTTGTTACTGTTTCAGAATGTCTTTTAATTGTTCTGACTGATTTCCAAGTGAATAAATCGTTCAGGTTAAGATTAAATCATTGATCTTCACCTATATTCCGTAAGTTCCTATGTAGCACAGATTTTGCCGGAGAATGTTTCTCTAGCTCTTTTCAAAAATCAGTAAATAAACTGAGCACCTATGGGACACATGGCACTGTAGTGGGTGTCTGTGTCTGTGCCTATGGATTGGCAGGGATTGTGAGAAAGGTTAAAAGCAGCAAAAGTGTCGAAGGAGGGGTACGGGTATTAATACTGTCAAGTATTTCCAATCACTCACTTCTTCCTCTGAAGAACTGAGCATCTGATAGGTAATTACTGAGCATCTGTTATATATATCACGCATTAGACCAAGCATTTAGAAATAAAACAGTATGCAAGCATTATCTGGATCTTTCCTTATGGTGTTCATATTACAGTGAGGAGAAGCAGACAGGGAAAACACCATTATCACAAAGTATAATGAATGTTATGATAAACTACACACGGCACCTTCAGATAAAACAGTAGTTCAGTCCTTAGCGAAATGTCATCTGCTATGGGAAATTACTAGCAAATGTAAAAGGTGAGAACAAACCCCAAACACAAGCAGCCATTTAGACAATTCTTCACCCATGTTAAAGCACATGTGATTCACTTGGGAGCTTATTAAAACCTGACTGGTTGGTCTCGGGTGAAGCATAAGATATTATACTTCTGAAAACTTCCATGTCTTGTGAACACCACTTTGGAATAGTGAGTTATCAAGATATTTATTTTTATTTTTATTTCTTTGCTAATCAGCTGCCTGCGAAATTATTGTCTCCTCTGAATCCTATGTCTTGTGTTTTCTCATTTTCAGTATCTATCCTTTCAGGGGCAGGTATACACAAGCATATATAGACACACATTAGCACAGATAATTGTATGCACACAGACACACATACACACATGCACACACACACACACACACACACACACACACACACACACACGAACAGATACCAGCATGCACACAAGGTGATGTATAGATTTTTGCATATGTGACCTGAGTTATGTCTGTGTGAGAGACGTCCAAGTTTGAATGGTTTATAATGTGCATGACTTAGATTGTTTATTAAACACTGTATCGAAAACGAGAACTGGGCTGATCATTTTCTATCAATAAAGCATTAATATGTTTCAATCACAAACTTTCATTTTGGTAAACTTTATGAGATCATTTCTTGATACAAGAGCTCTGGCAATGATTCTGTGTCTCCTAACGGAGCACCTAAAGTCAAATCCATAGCCCTTGAACAAGGTACAGTGTTTATCCCATTTAGCCTTGAGACCACCAAACTGTGTTATCTTGCAAGTGTTTTTATTTCCAGCTGCAGTGAGTCAGGGAGAGGGATGAATCAATGATGACTAAATAACAAGGAAGTGCAGGGTGAAGATTTGTCTGTGAAAGAAATGTAACAAAAGGAGAGGAAAATTGCACATTTTATCAATAATTGGCCTTGACAAGTTTGGCATAGCTCATACGGGAATTCAAAAAAGACCTGACTGTAAGGGAATGATTTGGAAGAGAAGCAGAAAAGAGAACCACCTGGTTCCTTGTGACATTCAGTTCTACCTCTGCCTCCAAGGTTCTGGATGGCTTAAGAAGGGTAGAATGTTCAGACCTAAATGAGATGTATGCTTTATTTATGATTAAAAAAAACATGAAAATCTGTTTTTTTCCACAGCAAGGTGACTAGTTTTGTCCCAGAATTGTTCAATGAAATTAAAGAAAAGGATATTTTCTGACATTTTTGGTAGTGATTATCCAGGGTCTGTGTTGCCACTCAATGTGAACCACTCTGCAGCTCCAACCACATTTAACTTCTTTTTCCTTCTTGAATACACTAAGTTTGTTTCCACTTAGTTTTGCCCTTGGGAACCCCATTGCCTATTAACCTTCATATTCAAGTCTCAATGTAGACACTGTCTTTTTAAATCAACTAATGTCCCCAAAGTGTCTAGCTCATCCAACCCTTTGCTCTTTGTCCCAAGACATGACTGAGTGGTGTTTCCTTCTTAGCATTTAAGTTTTGTTTTTTCTTAGCTTAATTTTTGATTGTTTGTTTTCTATTACCCCCACAGATATTGAATTCCGTGAGAATAAGAATGGACCTATATTACTTACTATTGCCTTTACTAGCAAAGCCCAGTGATTGGCATGCAAAAGACATCGAATAACTAGTGATTATATGAAATAGTATCTTTCCGTCTCTGTAAATCTCAGTATCTTCATGTATCAATGAGACTGATAAAACACTATTAATTATGATTATAAAAAAATTAACTGGCAAGTATAAAGGATGGTTCACTAAGAAAATAACTGAGAAGCATTAGCTTTTACTAGCACTCTGGGTCAGTGTTTCTACCTTTAACGTGGAGGCTTGAGTTCTTGGCACATAAGTGGTTTTAACCAAACATTAGCGAAATGGAGGAAAGAAGGTATATGCATTTCATTAAAAGGCTGTAAATGCCTGTGACTGCAATAAAATTTTTAGGATTATGCAAAGAAAATATTGGTACTTGTTCTAGGGTAGTAAGGATAGATAATTTGTAGCAAGTCCTTCCCTTTTTCCATTCCTTAAACCACAAGTTGCTTTTTCTGTGCTAAATGGCACAGGACCAAAGGTCTCTAGATAGGAAAGACCCTCCTTGTGCACATGTGGCTCCGGATTCTTATTGTGAGCCCTGGTTCCTCTGATGTCCAGAGCTGTCAACAACAGCTTGTCATCCACTGAAGACTCTAAAGGATCCTTAAGTCCAGGGCAGATGAGTGCAGACCGCCCCTTCCCCCAACCACTGTGTTCTCCTGACAGGGAGCACCCAGTGCTTATCCTACCGCAGTCAATGAAGGAGAAACAGAGGAGCTCCAGCCTCCCATTTGGTGAACACACACGTTAAGAGAAAGAGATGCAGTCAGTCCAGGCTTTTTCATTCTTCCTTAGGAGTTAAGATTTGTAAGATGCTGATTTAACAAACAAACAAACAAACAAACAAACAAACGTGTCGTGTCTTTCACTGTTTGTTTTTTTTTTCTCTCTTAAACCCTTCTATTGCAGGCCGTACAGAGTTTGGGGTAGCTTTGGATATCTGCAGCCAAAACAGCAACTCTGATTGCCTAGGCATGGACGTTCTAGACAAAGGAGGGGGGAATGTTCACTAAAGGTAAACCCCATCACTAAAATCACTTGTTCTGAAATGAAGCAACGCAAACCATCCTATTGAGGTTTTTTTCCCCCACAAGATGAAACCAAGCCTGGAAACATGCAAACAGTCTAGTTATTAAATTCTCAGATTCGAGAGTCAGAAGGCCTCTGAAGTCCAACTGTTTAATTTTGTCTTGGGAGTCCGGCACTATTTATTTTTCTTTTATGAATAATGAAAACCTAAAAAAAAAAAAACACATTACCCTAAATCATGTTTTGCTACAGGAAGAAAAATCTTCTTGAAATACAAGCCTTTGATTCTATCATGAACTCACAAGTACCACTTTTTGCTAACAGCTGGGGTTTTCCCTTATCAAAGAAGCACGTGAGGGTTGGGGAATTTTCGTTTGGTTCTTTCCTTCCTGTCTTCCATTCTTTTCCCCTATTCTTAAGATTTGATAGGTAGCTGTGTGAAGAACGCCGTATCTTCCGCTTTCTTTTCTCCTATGCCCCTCTCATTTTCCACCCTTGCAGCATGATATTAACCAATACCTGCCAAATGACTGCACACATGTAGACTGCTTTCTACATACCAAAACATGGGTACCACAGCTGGGTCTATCACAAGTTGATTCTGTACAACAGTGTCTTGATGGTAGAGGACACTTTGTCCCATCAATCTTAAAAACATGCAGAAATTCTCAAAATACGAACCCTCTAATATACATGTTATAAATTGTTGGGTAATTATTGCAGTGGGATTACTAATATATAGTACTAATCATGGATGGAAACAGATAAGAGCACATCAAGTACATTTGAGGTCTTCAATGCTTCTCATAGTGTTGCATCATCTTAAAACAATCTAAGTGACTGTCTTCTGTAACACACATTAATACATACTTTAACAAACCCCTAATTAGACCGCATCTCGGAATTTCCTCTCATATGCATGATATTGAAATGAACCCTTCTTGTTTCTTAGTCACTTCTCACGGGTCTCATTTGCTGGCAGACGACAAACTCCCCCCTTCTACTGTATTACTTCTTGTCTCCTCATAGAATGGTGAGACTACCTTAGGTAAAGGACGGGAGCACCTGGCTATGGACTTTTGAATTGCAAAATGACAGTGACGATGGGTTCCTCTGACATTTGCTCTCAGTAATGTTCTTGCTATATCTTCACATGCCTGTTTTAGTGAACCCTCCCCTAAAACTGAGACATTTCTTATTTTGACCTCACATTAATGTCAAAAAAATTATTTGTCTTTACTATTGATTCTTAGTCATGAGATATGTTCTTGAATGACAGCTAGTAGAACATATCTCAGAGTCTTGTCACTATCTGTACTTGTAACAGAAACACATCTCATCAAATATTCTTCTAAAGGAAAGGGTTTTTTTCCTTCCTTCCTCTCTCCCTCCCTGCCTTCCTTCCCTCCCTCTCTTCCTTCCCTCTCTCCCCCCTCCCTCTCCCTCTCTTTCTTTTAATGTTCATTCATACACGTTTGTGCACATGTGGAAGCCAAAGAACGATTTGCTAAAGTCAGTTTACTTCTTGTCCTTTGCAGGTTCTGGGGCTCAAACTCAAGGTTTCAGGCTTGGGAACGACCACCTTACTCACTAAGCACCTCAATGGTCTTATGTCTCCCTCTCCATGCATTCCTCTTCTTCCCTTTCTCTTTATCTCTTTCTGCCTCTGTCTGTCCATCTGTTTCTCTCTCTCTCTCTCTCTCTCTTTCTATCTCTTCAGCTCTCATTTTTCCCTCTCTCTAAGCCTTTTTATTTCACTAGAGTATCCATTCTTTACTGCCCTCAGCTAGGATCTTTCCAGACTGGATTATAAAGTGATCAAATATATGCATCATGTTCTTATTCTTTTGTTGTTTACTTAGAAAGTAAAGGAAAAAGAAACCAATGAGTGCTGACTGGATCTCCCATGAAGTATATTTTCTAGTGATACAAGGTTCAGATGGAAATAAAGCAAAATAAAAATATAATAAGAAAGAACCGTGCCATGTTTTTAGACCACACTGGTCAGAATTTATGTGGTCAGAGTTTATGGTTAATTTGGGAATTAGCACTCAGTCTCACAATACCACAAATAATTAAAGTCTGTTTCCTAGTTATGACTTATTGTCTTTTATATGTACGCAGTACAGATTGCAAGTGAATGTGCCCAAGAATAGGTCACAAATCCTGTGGTACATAAGGAAAGCATTGTTGTGTGGGGGCTCATTTTCAGGCACAAGGCAAGCAAAGAAACAGAAAACATTTGTGGAGTTTGTTTTGTTTTGCTTTGGTTTGTTAATCTTGAGATGGGTTCTTGCTATGTAGCTCTGGCTGACCGCAGCTCACTAAGTAGACCAAACCTTGAACTTCCAGAGATCCTCCTGCCTTTGCCCACTGCTTTCTCAGTTACTGCGTTGCTTCACCAGGCCTGACCCAGGAAATGACAGCACCAGTGTTTGCTTTTATTTTTTGTTTTTATAGTGAACGTCAACAAATCAGTTCAAATTGAGTGTATAAACATATATTTAACACCTGCAATGTGAAAAGAAGATCTGATAAAGTGATACTCTGGAAGAGCTATGCTAAGGGGAAATGCTAAAGATAATGAAAGACAATGCTAACATGGAAGGAACGAGAATAAACAAGACGTTTCTGGCCCCAGAAACCATGCCCAGTAAACTTTGGAATATTTTTAAAAGATAGTCATGTCTTTATAAGGAACTTAAAATAAGTAGCTCTGATAAATTCTGGTGGGAGATAATCATTCCACTTCTCTACCATTCATTTCTAGTAGTCAATCAATGGATTTCAGCTCTTAAAGGTGTAAGTTAACTACATTAGCTTCTTGCTGTAAATCTTTTCCATTTCTACAATTAACTCAGGCAATAGTTGTCATGACTATGTGTCAAAAGGGCTTTCAAACTCCTAGTATAATTTTCAATTCTCAAGATTGCTAAAAAGTATCAATTTTTTGTCCTTTACAACATGAAAAATTGTATTTATTTTTTAAAAATTTCCCTCTTCAAGAGAAATACATGAAAACATTTAAAAGAATTTATTTTAAAAGTACACAGCTGGGTTACACAAGAACTAAAGAAAAATCTCATGTTTTGTTTGGTTAAACCAAATCCATAATTTACTAGGGTAAGCTGTTCTTGAAGTTGAATGTCCTGAGGACATTTATTGATTTAAAAACAATGTGCTTTGTGTTTTTATAGGCACAGAAAGCAAGGCCTTGGATAAAGTACAGTATTCGCATGGAGCCATGACCCTCTGAGGTCCAGACAATATCCTCATGCTTCATTACATCTCAGTGACAGTGTGGTTTGCCTATCACAAAGGGAGTTTTAAAAAGCTTTTTGTCTATTTTGGTTATAGCTTTGCATTCATTTGATCTGGGAAGAAAGTGAAAAAGAAAAGGGGAAATTTATTTGACTGTGGAGGATGAGCTGTATACTTTCATTGTGTTGGGAAGATTTTATTTCTTAACCTGAACAGCACTGGTTCTTATGTTATCCTATATGCTTCTAATATCGTCATGTCAAAGTGAAGAGGTAATCTATAACAAGCAAAATTAAAAGTAGTCATCATTTTCAATTTTAAAAATATTTAGAGCATTGCTAAGAAACGACACCTGACTAAAATGGGAGTACCCAGACCCATACAAGTTCTATGACTTTCAAAAAGAACTTTTCAATTTAAGAAATCTAAGAAGTTTTCTATTTCATGGAGAGATGTGTTGAGTCCAGTCCCTCCCACCAGTTATTGTAGGTGCTGGGTTCATGAGTGATTTATTTCTAGAAGATCTTGTCTGAGATTGTCCAATGCCATGACAACCCTTTAGAATAGGGCATGGGCTTTGGTACAGTTTCAAATATAACATCTATCACAGGTTCATATTAGAAAATCCACAAACAGCCCCTAGCTGTTGATGGGACTTACTAGCCTATTGATGAGTATCATTTGACCATTCCAATCACACGGACCTTGATCACTTCTGAATCCTTAAAGCATTCATCAAGCATCTTAATCAGTTAGATAATTAGTTCCATTTTCCATTTCATGGTCACATGAATTACTTATTCAATGATATTCAACATTCCCAAAGAAATTCATCTCCACTCATTGCCAAGAAAATGTAGAACTGGGAGGGATGCTGTTATCTGCTTGGAATCTCACGTCTCAAATTTTAAGTATCCAGTCCTATGAAATGAATCCAAAGTTTCAGCAGAAAGCAGGTTGTTCAACCCAGACAGGGTAATGAAATGAAGATATTTATAACACAACCATGTGCATGAGGTATAAGTAACACATACTGCGGGGTGCCTCAAAGCCACTTACAATGGAATCACTAGCCACTCCCCAGTTTCAAACCATAAGGATAAGTAAGGAAAACAGCCGGGACCTAGAAGGAAAACATCACAATGGAGGGACTACAAGGGTAGTGGAGAGACTCAGATTTTAGAGAGAGTGGTCAGAAAGAAGTAATAACCCAACCTCTCTTTCCTGTATTCATCCAGGGACCCCACGCTGCTGAAAACCCACTGACAGGCCTGAGAACAATAGAAGCCCTTTAGAAATTCCATAACACAGTGATGGGAGCAGTGGAGAAGTGAAAGCAGAGAAAGAGTTGGAGAACAGAAAGCAGAAGACAGCAAGAACAAAGAGCTTGTGCAGGAATCAAAGTTTCGTAACTCAACAACCTCTTTGAACCCAAACATACTCCCTCTACTGCTCAAAAACGATACCCGATGAATTGAGCTTAACGGAAAAAATCCTTCCCAGTAAGAGTAAAGGTTTGGACATCTATGTTGAGTCAGAGCCCAGTGAGGGTGGAACACAGACCACCTCCCCTCTGCAGAATTGGAATCAGGTCCAAAAGCTGTTCTCAGGAACAGATGGAAACCAGGGCCGTTCCCAGGGCCAAAGGCGTGAAATGTTCCAATCACCCAGACCCACTCAGCATTCTCTCGCTAAACAGTGACACAGCTCAGCATATGGCATGCTGGACACCATGTGCAGTGCAGGACCACAGCCAAAGACAGACTTGGTCTGGTTTAAAAGACATGGGCTAGCTTTAAGAATTCAGGAGGTAGACCTAGGAAGTATCTTTACATGGAAGAGATCCAGCAAGTTGAAAGAACTACTGTGAAGGGCCGCATCCACATGCCCCATTACAAGATGGCACTGGCATCCGGTTTCACCGCCAGGTGAACGCACATGTGCTAGGTAACTTTCCACTGCTGTCCCTGCCTACTCCCGAGGCTTCACCTGGGCTAATTGGGCAGTGGATCAATCCAAGGGTGACACGTCCGAAGCAAGGACTGCTTCCTATATAAAGGAGGGGTTCCCTCATTTAGGGGTCCCCGGTCATGTTAGCTGATGCTCTCTCTCTCAGGACGCATTAAAGCTATTTCTGCAGAAGAATCCTAGTGTCCCGCGTGGTTCTTGCTGGCGAGACGATAGCGTGGGACAAGCTACAGAGCCCCTAGATTACTTGTCCCCAGTGGATAAGATACCTGTTCTAGTCAGGTGTGCAATAGAGCTCGGGAGGGCAGAGGTGGATCCACAACACACTCTGGGCTTGAGGTAGATCCCCTAAATTTCCACTGCTGTGAACCCCAATGGGTATAAAGTGAGGAGCTTACCTATCGTGGGGATGAAAGTCTCATCACAAAGAAGGAGATACCATCTCAGTTAATCTATCATGAACAAAGACACTTATTACCTAGGACCAGCCATGGACCATGGCAAGAACAATGATGGAGATGTTCTACCATAGCCTAATAAATATTATCTGCCCCCTCCCAATTTGTGGTTAACACTAATGTAATTAGTTTTCCTTTGGTGAACATATCTTGTTGGGGTTGTGATATCAAATGAAAACCTCACTTTAATATGTATAGCTCCTAGGAAACTCCCTCCACTGTGGTGAGACTGTAAACTTCCACATCCAGATTTAACCTAGATATTCGAGAACCAAAATTAGGTCTTCATGTTTGGGCAACAACCACATCACCCAAAGATTTGTCATCTTCCCAGCCCTATCAGGAAATAATTTTTAGGAGATACTGAAACTGTCAAATAGAGCAGTGAAAATCCTCTTGTTTCCCGGAATAGCATAATCTTATTATTCATCTTTAGTTCTGCATGAATAACCTTATGGGAAAATAACACAGGATTTAGAAGCTAATTGTCTCCTCCCATTACTATAATGTGGGTGACAAGATAAATTACTTAATCTCTGTGCCTTAATTTCTTTAGGTCTATCCTACTCAGTAGGTCAAAAAGAGGATCAAATGACGTAATACATGAAAGTTACAGAGCACAGTGTTTAAGTACCAAATAATTCACTGTCAAGTTCATGACTGCTTGGATTTTTTTTTCCTCTGTGTTGTTTTGCCAAGCTTCTCAAATAAGCAGTGTCATGGTTATGTGGCAGCTACATTTTTTCTTTTCCATGATAAACTTTCATTTTTTTAATTTTAATTATTCTGTCATATATGTTTTATTGCCACAATATGGTTCTAATCTTTAAAAATATATGAGGTATAAATTTTTAAAAGACTGCAACTATACTTGCGTTACATGAGAGTTTTAAAAATGTACATTTGTTTATTCATTGATTTAGGTAAGAGAGAGAGAGAGAGAGAGAAAGAGAGAGAGAGGACAACATATGAGAGTCAGCTTTCTCCTTATTCCATGTGGGTACTAAGAAATTTACTCAGTCAAGTTTGATGGTTGATCTCTTTATTGACTAAGCAGTATCCCTGGCTCCAATATGAGTTTTAAGTGGATTATTTTCTGTAGCCGTTCTACAAGAATTAATTTCTGCATGTATATTGGCTAGAAGACCTAGAACTGAAGGAATAGAGAATCAACCCATGTCTCCAAAATTTAACTTCTGTGAGTTGGATCTATTAGTTTTAGTTAACTCTTCCTTAACCTAACATGCACATCTTTTAGAGTCGCTTGGTCACTATAAAATTCTAGTGTGATGTAGTCAATGATTCGAGTGATCTTTCAGTGAAAATCCAGTGTTCCTCACTCTTCTGAAGCCACCACCATCAGATGCCATAGAAAACAAGATTATAAAAATCACACTTTTCTTCAGGAAACCATAGGGTAAATAGGAGGTTCAAACTCCCTCCCCTGCTGCTTGCCCTGGCAGTAAGAAGCCAGGCTATACCTTCTATGCTAGACTCTGCCGACCTGCCATTATTAGCAATCTAATCACTCTGCTTACCTGCAGCTGGCCACACAATTCAAATTCTTAGAAGAAAGAATCCTCAGGACAGCATAATGTTAACAAACAGTAAGTCGAGACATGGGACCCAGATATAAAATGACAAGATTGTCTTTTCATTTTTAGTCTTTCCCCACATCTTATTTTCTTTCAAGTGATTCTACCTTGTCCTCATGAGAATGTCTTTCAGGGAGTTTATCTTTGTAGCCAGATACGGCCAGAACACTCCATTGTATGAAGCTCAAGGCTACAGAATCCTACAGTTCGTGATGCTGGCATACTGGGACTCTTCCCCACTGTGATCCGTCTGTTCTTCCCATCAAATCTAGCCCACCAGCAGACCTTTGGTACCTGTCTGCTCTCCCACTATGAGCAGAACACATAGCCAGCAACAGTATCTGATTTCTCAATTTCTAAGATTTTTTTTTCTGGTCACACATAAATGGAAAAATATGCTTACTAGAAGGTTCCCAAATATTATGCAGAATGTGGCAAATTCTTTCCCACTTACACTATTATTTGTTTTTTTATGCAATTTATTCTCAGTCCCTTCTTATTCAATTCTTAACTGCTTTTTAAAAATTATGTTCTGGACTATATCTGAATAATTAAAAGGTAAGAAATTTGAGGCTAGATAGGCTGATTAATTACATTTCTTACAATAATCTGAGTAATCTGTAGAATATTATAGTGTTTAGTAGATGTCTTAAAACACTACTTGGTAGAAAACCGATGGGTAGAAAGTTTAAATGTATTCACCAGCTGGTTTCAGCTGGTTGCAATAAGATATCCAAGTTCAAATGTATCAAGTGCCTTAAAAAATGTTTTTAGAAGGTTAAACATCGAGGTCACATGCTCTAATTACTTGTTAATGAAACAACTTTGATATATTAGCATTCTCTTCCTTCAAGTGTTTGCTATCATTTCCAATATCAGTTACCAACAATTAAGAAAACAGTCTAGATTATCTTAGATAGAGGTACTTTTTAATGCATAGAAGGGTGCTATTTCAGTTTTGATCCTGTTGTTGCTCCTGTATGTGCTCGCTGAAACAGACATATTATAAACAGACATATTTGATTTGCTAGAGTTAGCAGAAAAAAAATAGTTTTTTTTATTTTGCTTCTAGGACTTCTGCTCTAAATGAACACCAGCGACCATTTGATCAGCCTGACCCCTTTATCACAATGTCCTTTCCCCACCCATTCATACCCATGTCCCTTCTCCTTTTTCTCAGTCCTGGAAACACCTCTAAAGTGTGACTGACATCTCCATGTTGAACACAGAGGTAAAGTGAGGAGGGCAGACTTGGCGGTCATAGGAATGAGTTGAATCCTGGCTTCCCTGTGCACCACACTCTTTGGCCTAGGGAAATTCATTTACATTCTTGTATAGGTCTATAGGATGAGTTCCTTTGGTCTTGAGAGTTTTATTTACATATCTCTACAGGTCTACAAGATGGGTTTCTTTTTCTTCCCTTTCCCCCTTTGTTAAAAAGTACTTGGTTAATCCTGGAGTTTCTCTCTTCCATGGGGTTTATCTTGGAATATATTTTTCAGATCTACTGAAGGCTTGTTGGGGTTGTTCTTCAGATCTTATTCATGGATACAATTATTTGGGGGAAATTGCTCTTCTATGTATTGATAGTTATGCCCCCCGAGCTCCCGGAACCCAATACCTGAGTTCTTGTCATTCATTTGGGCCCCTTTTTATGCCTATAAAGTTTTTACTTTTATTCATAAAAGTCATTTCATGGATATACTTCCAGACATTTTCTATCTTTGCTTGCCATGGAATATGGCAGTTTTATTTCTGTCTATCTAATCTGTGTGCTCCTTTTTCCTCTTGTGCTAGTGGGTCCTGTTTCACCTGCTGGAGTTTAGAAAGAAGACTTTTTGATTCCTAAATACAGTCCAGGGATCTGGCATTCTATAGATATATCTTATCTGATCAAGGAATCCACACGCTTTCCTTAGTTTGCTAAAAGATGTGGTTTTCCTTTAACTATGAATGAGAGTTGAATTTTGTTTCATTCATTTTGTTTGTTTGTTTTGTTTTTTGGTTTCAAGAAAGGGTTTCTCTGTAGCTTTGGGGCCTGTCCTGAAACTAGCTCTTGTAGACCAGGCTGGCCTCAAACTCACAGAGATCCGCCCACCTCTGGTCCCCAAGTGTTGGAATTGAAGGCATGCTCCACCACCGCCCAGCATGAGCATTGAATTTCATTAGTTGTTGTTTTGAATCTGAGAGATGATGGAATTCATCTTTTACGGTTGCATATCTTAGTGTGGTGAATCACACTGACACAGTTTCTAATTTTAAATTATTCTCACATTCTTACCATGAGCCCTATCTGATTCTGATTTATTACATTAATTTCCCCCTTCTTGCTGAACATTTATATTAAGCATAGGTTATGTGTTCCTTGACAGTTTGGAGGATTATGATTAGAAGTAGGCTTGTTTAAATGGAGTTTTCAGCTGTTACTGATTTTCAAAGACTTGGGTTTTGTGGTTAATCATTAAGGATTCTTGGATTTTCTATTTCTAATTGAGTCATTTTCAGTAATTTCTGTTTTTCGAATGTATTAATATAAAGCAGTTCTTGGAATTCTCCTAAAAACTACTGTATAAATAGTTATGATTCTTTATTTCTGGAATTATCTTTATCTTTTTCTTCCTATTCCATTTCTCTACCTATTAGTTTGCTTAATAATAAATTTATTTTCAGTATTTGACTTTCTGTATTCTGTGTATTCTGTTGCTAGTTCACCAATTTTCTTTCCTCGTTTTTGTTTGGATTTTACTTTTCTCCATGTTTATTGACATAATTAACAAATAAAACGGCATATTATACACCCACAATTGCCAGCATGGCAAGACATGTATAAGAAGTGTCATTCACATGTCATTGGCAAGTAATAGTTATCTAATTGGACCTAAGACCCACTCAACACAAGGGAAATCATGCCTAAGACTGGAAACCTAGCCCAGATCCTTGG